GCTAGCAAGTTTTTCCCTCAGGAAGTGAGTTATTTCATGGTACATACCGTTTTCATTCCAAGCTGTTATCTGCAATTATATAAAAGAAAACATTATGAGAATCAGATTCTGCTGTGCACTTCACACAGATCTGTTATTCTCTGGACAATGATAAAAAACCAGAAGGTGGTACAGTGATTGAGCAATAGGTCAAAGTCCCCAAAGACTAGCACAGAGGATAGCTATAGAAAAACAATACCTTAATTCACAGAATTTACCTTTAATTTTATATACAAATGCACAATGCTTAATCCAAGGAGGAAAACTGATGTGGAAAATGCCTCAGCATTCCAGTTGATAATGGATGCTGTCATTTAAAAGCACTCTAGTGTACCACATATAAGGTGGGAAGACACGCCTACTGAATTCCAGCCCCACAAAGAGAATAGGATACATTGTACATAATGTGCATTGCCAGATTTTCATATCAAAATTAACTGAGAAGTGAAGGAATCAGGAAAGCAACATTGCTGTAGAAGACCAAAAAAAGGGATCTTACGCGGACATCATCATCATCATCACAGTCATCATCACAATCAGCATCATCATCATTTTCTTCATCTTTGTATCGTGGTGAGCATCTTAAAAACAGGCGGTCCTCAGGCCAAGCTGGAAGGACACAGAGGAAAGATCAGTTCATTGGTGGTTGGTGACTGTGAGTCACTCAGGGAGCTTTGCCGGATGTGGTGTATGGAGGTGGTTGATTAACAAGCATGGACTGAGTTGATGCTGGGCTATTCCCCTGAGTGGAACAGGGCAGATAAGGGGAGCAGGAAAGACATGAGACATGGAGATCTTCGCCTTGCACTAGAGGCATCAGGCAGCAACAGAGAAAAGTCAACCCAAAATGAAACTAAAATGCACACTAAGGGTCAATGGAAGAGTGCCTTCCTCTCTCTCAAATGTTTTGAAACTCTTCAAAACAAACAGCATTTTCTTAACATATTCAAGACCCTGTCAGTACACTAGGATCCATTTACACTGGTACTACATTTAGCATCTGTTTAAAAAAATTGTTACTTGATTAAAAGCCTATTGTATTAATGAAATGGACTCAATTTTACCCAAATTACTCTATTCTATTAAGCACACACTCTTTTTCATGAAATAATTTTAAAAATTAACTATTAATATGCTACAATTAAAACTAGTCATATTTCCTCTTTGTAAGACTTCTTCTGGAACCAGGGGTGTGCACAAAACCTATTGGGCCCCTGTGATCAGGGGCTTCAGCAGCTCTCTGTCACTCTCCCTGAGGAGATTCCCTAAAGATCAGGCTTCATTCAAACAGGCCAACCTCACACAGCCTGCGAAACCTACATCAGTGAAGCTGAGAGTCATGACTCTGAATACTTTCTGCCATGAGGATAAGTTTCCAGGCTCAAATATACATTGTTTACTGAAATGAGGAAATGTATACCAATAGAAATGGATGAATTCAGGAAAAAATGTCCATGCATACAGGGGTGATTTTTTTGGTTAACTAGCTTACAAAAAAAAAAAAAATTATTTGATGCCACTTTGTTCAGATGTACAAAATAGTGGTATAAAAAATCACAAATTTGGCCAGGAGCGGTGGCTCATGCCTGTTTTTCCAGCACTTTGGGAGGCCGAGGTAGGCAGATCACGGGGTCAAGAGACTGAGATCATTCTAGCCAACATGGTAAATCCATGTCTCTACTAAAAAAAATTAGCTGGGGGGGATGGTACATGCCTGTAGTCCCAGCTACTAGGGAGGCTAAGGCAGGAGAATCAGATGAACCTACAAGGCGGAGGTTGCGGTGAGTAGAGATCACGTTACTGCACCCTGTCTAATGACAGAGCAAGACTCCGCCCAAAAAATATTTAAAAATCACAAATTTTTATTAGTCATGTTAAATCTACCTTATGAGCTGTCAACATAAAGATTCTAGAAAGTAAAGAAGGTGCAAAGCAGTTGAAAGGCATCCCCGTATTCATGGATAGGAAGACTAAACTTGACTAACACACAATACTACACAAATGATCTACGGACTCACAACAACTGCTATGAAACTGGTAACAGCCATCTGTGCAGAAATGGAAAAGATAATCCTAAGACTTTAAATAATTTATATATGCCTCAAATAACCATGGTAACTGAAAAAGAATAGTGTTAGAGGATGCACATTCATGAGAGTGAAATCTACAAAAAAAAAAAAAAAAAACAGATCGTGTGCTCCTAGCTTGGGGGCACCCATAAGTATCACAGATATAGAATAGAGAGCCCAGAATTAAATGCATACATAGAGTCAGCTGATCCTCAACAAAGGTACCAAGAATACACAATGGGGAAAGGAAAGCCTCTTCTACAAATGATGGTAAAACTGCATATTCTCATTCAAATGAAGAAATGGAATGCTGACAGTGTGCTCGAGGTTGTGCTTCTCCCTCCATTTCCAAGACACTGGAGCTTTTATAGTGAGCCCAGAGTGAGTTTTCATTCTGTCCTCTGCTCCCAGGGAGATGTCTTGATACCAGAAGTAAACAGCAAGGACAGACAAATGAATGTGCTGCCATGAAACCCAACAGTTCATAAGGTGAGGCTCCACTTCTCCTATGCATCTGGGCACACCGCAGAAGAATTCTGTCTCCAGGATTAAGTAACTGCCTGTGACAGAACTGTGTTCCAAACCAAAGACTCTGACATATTGCAGTGGCAGAGGCAGAAAAGAGCAGGTGTTCTCAGAAAAATCACCTTTAAATAATAAGATGTGATCGAAATCACAGGATACTCAAAAACGTAGTACTTCTCACCCTGATGACATTGAACTCTGAAAATAACAAACTCAGCTTATATTTATTTTTTCTCTTTCTACACTCTCCCTCAGCCTCCTAAGCAGCAGGTATAACATGAAGGTTGCTGGAAATGCTATTTTATTAGATCCCACCTGAAGTCTTGTTGACTACCTGGAGAGGCATCCTCTTCCCTGCTGAGATTCTCCAGAATCCACTCTTTAGAACCACCAACATCAGGATAAGTCAGTGAGAGCTGCACTCACTTCTCCTACTCCAGGTGAAGACACACTGGCTCACACAAAATCTCCTGGTTGGTGCTCTGGGTTCACACACATTTCTACAGCCCCTCTGGTCAGAGCTATACACTTGCAAAATCATTTGCTCTCACCACACCCCCAATATTTTTAACAGGAACCCAGATTAAGGTTTCTACATATTAAAGCCAGCAAATTTGTTTCTCAGAAAGTGACTTAGTTGAAGGTACGTACCCTGGACACGTGATGGTAAAATCTGCAATGAGAAAAAAGAAGATGCCATGAGGATCAGATCAATTCTGCTGCACCCCTTCCACAGACCTGTTAGTCTCTTGATGACTTCAGAAAACTAGTTGTGAAACAGTGGTTGAATCAAAGGTCAAAGACCAAACATTCTAGCATAAAGGACACGTGTGGAAAAGACAAGAGCTTTTCCCACAGAATTTATCTTTGAGGTTGATGTAGATTGGTAAATGCACAGGGCCTAATCCAACGAGAAAAACTGGTGTGGAGGAAAATGCCTCTGCATCAGTTGATGATGGATGCGGTCCTTCAAAAACATCCTAGTGTGTCATGTATGAGATGAAAAGAAACTCCCACTGACATCCATCCTAACAAAGAGAATTGTGTATGTTGTACATAATGTGCCTTGTCATATTTCTATATCAAAATTAATTGAGAAGGAAAGAAATAAGGTGAAAAAAATAATGTATACACTGGCCCAAATTGCCTTCAACCAGTTTAAGTCAGCAAAGGACAGAAGAAATACTAGGTTCCTTCTTGGATGGGCAATGCCTGCTTGTTGGGCCCCTCCTCCTCTCCACTTAGTTGCCCTCACTTGAATCAAAGAAAATTAGTCTAAGATGAAAATTTACTAGCCTGCAAAGTACCTTACTTTGTGTGTTCTTATCACCCTACCCAGCTACTTGAAGAGCCCCTGAGCTGACTAGGATGATAATGCATTGTGGGCTGCAAAGAAATGCAGTAAGAGAATCCTGGAAAAACACCTAAATCCCCCAACAACAATCAGTAGGCCACACCCAGGAAAACTGTAACCCCACAGTACTCAGCCGATGAGGAACCAGGGGAGGGACCTGCACACTAGGGGATAAATTGCTCGTTGAAACTCTGCTGGGGGTGTCTGCTCCTCAGACACCAAATCTTGCAACACTGTCATTAAAAGTCTCACTTTTGGCCAGGCGCAGTGCACCGGGTCTTGCAACACTGTCATTAAAAGTCTCACTTTTGGCCAGGCGCGGCGGCTCATGCTTGTAATCCCAGTACTTCAGGAGGCCGAGGGTGGTAGATTACCTGAGGTCAGGAGTTCGAGACCAGCCTGGCCAACATGGTGAAACCCCGTCTCTACTAAGAATACAAAAATTAGCTGGGCATGGGGACATGGGGACACATGTTGTGATTCCAGCTACTCGGGAGGCTGAGGCAGGTGAATTGATTGAAACCAGGAGATGGAGGTTGCACTGAGTTGAGATTGCACCACTGCACTCCAGCCTGGCCAGCTGAGCAAGACTCTGTCTCAAAAAAAAAAAAAAAAGAAAGAAAGAAAATCTCACTTTGCTGTTTTTCAGCTCCATGAGTCTGTTCTTTGGGTTTGGACTGGTGAGTTTTTTTCTCACATCAGAAAACCAACATTTCCTTAGAAGACAAAGAAAGGTGGTCTTACCTGGACATCATCATCATCCTCATCATCATCACAATCATAATCTTCACTTGGTGGTGGTCTCACTAAACTCAGGTTGTACCCAGAAGAACCTGGAAGGACACAGAGAAAAGATCAATGCCCTGGGTGTTTGTGACTGTGAGTCACTCTGAGCTTTGCTGGATGTGGTGTATGGAGCTGGTTAACAAGCATGGACTGAGTTGATGCTGGGCTATTCCCGAGTGGAAGAGGGATGGCAGAGGAGGGGAGCAGCAAAGACATGAGACATGGAGGTGTTGGCCTTGTACTAGAGGCATCATGCAGCAACACAAAACAGTCAACCCCAAATGGAACAAAAACACACACTAAGGGTTAATGGAAGAGTGCCTTCCTCCTTCTGAAATGTCTTGAAACTCTTCTAACAAACAACATTTTCTTAACATATTCAAGACCATATCAGTACACTAGGATCCAATTATGCTGCTACTACATTTAGCATCTCTTTTAAAGGATTTATTACTTAATTAAAAGCTTACTTTATTGGTAAAATGGATTCAATTGTACCCAAATTATTAGTCACACATTCTTTTCATAAAGATAATTTAAAAGTTAAATTTTAAAATGCTACAATTAAAAATAGTCATGATTGGCCAGGTGCGGTGGCTCACGCCTGTAATCCCAGCACTTTCAGGGGCCAAGGCAGGCGGATCACGAAGTCAGGAGATCGAGACTATCCTGGCTAACATGGTGAAACCCCATCTCTACTGAAAATACAAAAAATTAGCTGGGCATGGTGGCGGGCACTTATAGTCCCAACTACTTGTGAGGCTAAGGCAGGAGAATGGCTTGAACCTGGGAGGCAGAGCTTGCAGTGAGCCGAGATCGCACCACTGCACTCCAGCCTGGGCGACAGAGTGAGACTCCGTCTCGAATAAATAAATAAATAAAACAAAACAACAGTCATGATTTCCTCTTTGTAAGTCTTCTTCTGGAACCACGGTGTGTGCGAAAAGCCTACTGGCTCCTGTAATCAGGGGCTTCAGCAGCTCTGTGTCACTCTCCCTGAGGAGATGCTGGAAGTATCAGGCTTCATTCAAATGGGCCCAGCTCACAGACCCTGTTCTACCTACAATGAAGCTGAGAGACATGACTCTGAACACTTTTCTGCCATGAGGATAAGTTTCCAGGTTTAAATATACATTAATTACTGAAATGAGGAAATGTATACCAATAGAAATGAACACATTCTTGAAAAAGTGTCCGTGAGTACAGGGGTGATTTTTTGGTTAACCAGTTTACATAAATTTATTTTATTTGATGCCTATTCATTCAGACATACAAAATATTCGTATAACAAATCACAAATTTGGCCAGGCACGGTGGCTCATGCCTGTTATTACAGCACATGGGAGGCCGAGGTAGGAAGATCACGAGGTCAAGAGATTGGGACCACCCAGGCCACCATGGTAAAACCACGTTTCTACTAAAAATAAAAATTAAAAAATTAGCTGGGCATGGTGGCACAGGCCTGTACTCTCAGCTACTTGGAAGGCTAAGGCAGGAGAATCACTTGCACCTGGGATGGGGAGGTTGCTGTGAGCGGGAGCCCATCACTGCACCCCAGTATGCTGACAGAGTGAAACTCCATCTCAAAAAGAAAAAACCACAAATTTATATTAGTCATGTTACATCTAACTTATTAGCTGTCAACATAAAGATTCCAGAAAGTAAAGAGGGTACAAATAAGTTGAAAGGCATCCCGTATTCATGGATAGGAAGACTAAACATGACTAACACACAATACCACACAAATAATCTACAGATTAAAAATAACTGCTGTCAAATTGGTAATAGCCATGTGTGCAGCAATGGAAGACATTCCTAAGACTTTAGTGAATTTTTATGTGCCTCCAATAACCATGGTAACATTGAAAAAGAATAGTGTTGCAGGATGCACATTCATGAGATTGAAATCTACAATAAAAAGTAAAAGAAACTGAGACAGCATGCTTCTAGCGTGGGGGCACCCCTAAGTATCACAGGTATAGAGAGCCCAGAATTAAATGCACACATACAGAGTCAGCTGATCTTCAAGAAAGGTGCCAAGAATACACAATGGGGAAAGGAAAACCTCTTCCACAAATGATAGTAAAACTGCATATTCTCATTCAAATGAAGAAATGGAATGCTGACAGTGTGCTCAAGGTTGTGCTTCTCTCTCCATTTCCAAGATACTGGAGCTTTTGCAATGAGCCCAGAGTGAATTTACATTCTGTCCTCCGCGCCCAGGGAGATGTCTTGCTACCAGAGGTAAACAGCAAGGACAGACAAATGAATGTGCTGCCATGAAACCTAACAGTTCATAAGGTAAGGATCCATTTCTCCTATGCATCTGGGCACACCACAGAAGAATTCTGTCTCCAGGATTAACTAACTGCCTGTGACAGAACTGCATCCCAAACCAAAGGCTCTGACATTTTGCAGTGACAGAGGCAGAAAAAAGCAGGCGTTCTCAGAAAAATCATCTTTAAATAATAAAGCAAGAAGAGGTGATTGAAAACACAGGATACTCAAAAGCCCATAAACATAGTAATTCTCACCATGATGACATTAAACTCTGAAAAGAACAAACTCGGCGTATATTTACTTTTTCTCTTTCTAAACCCTCAGTTTCCCAAGCAGCAGGTATAACCGGAAGGTTCCTGGAAATGCTGTTTTATTAGATCCCACCTGAAGTCTTGTTACCTACCTGGAAAGGCATCCTCTTCCCTGCTGAGAGTCTCCAGAATCCACTCTTTAGACCCACCAACATCAGCATAACTCAGTGAGAGGTGCACTCACTTCTACTCCAGGTGAGGACACACTGGCTCACACAAAATCTCCTGGTTGGT